AGAAACCATAGTATTCTTATTATACTCCAACATAATCTCACCGTTCTTCAGATCACATGCAACTCTGAGAACATTAGGGGCAAAGGAGTATTCTTTTTCCCATGATTCCTCCACATTGTATTGTTTCATTACCCAGATACCAAACTGCCCTGTTTCACCTAAGCCAGCTGCAGAGAGACACCCATTTAGCACAGATAGATGGTAACTGTGACACAAATCATTGACAAAATGGCAATTGATTTTTTTTTTTTTTAATAAAATGAACTGCTTAATAAAATAAAGTATTAGAACAATTTTTTTCTTATAATTTATATAATATAAAAAATATAACTTAAAAATACGTGCAAGGACAACTAAATTGAACCAAAGATATTAATAGCTACTCCAACAAGTGTAGACAAATTAAAACTCGGGTGGGATATTGGCTTATTGCCACAGGATTGGAGAAAATTGAGATGATTCATATAGACGGATAGACACCATTACCACAAATAATAAAATAAAATAAAATATTATAATTTTGCCAATAAATAAATAGAATAAATTATTAATTAATTTATTTTTTTTTTTTAAAAAAAAATTCAAGATTAAGTTCCCAAATCCCAAGTCCCAATCCCCAATGATGGGATGAGAAAAGGGAAGTGGCGGACAAGAGAAAGGATAGAATTAGAACCTCCACCTCAGTCTCCTTCCCCTCCCATCCATACCCTCAAAACAAACAAATAGTTAATAACGAGTAGATGATTCACACGTCCCGCCACCAAGTAAAAAGAGTAATCACTCAACCAGTTTGATACCATGCCACTTTGTAACAAAACAATGTAGGAAAAATATATTGTAGCTAAATTATTACCGTTTGATTTTCCCTAAATATATGAGGGTTTTTTTCCTTCCAAGAAATAGACCCACTATATTAAACAATGAAAGCAAATTCAGTCACAAGCCATCAAACTAAATCAGGAGAAAAGGAACTAGTAAGTTCAGTGCTAAACCAAATAAACAAAGAAACGAAAGTAGAGCTTAGACATCCTGGAAGCTTGATGTGCAAAAGAACAGATTCAACAGAAATGGAAAAAAGAAGTACCTAAGTCTTACATAACAAGAGTTGATGATACTGCCAGTTAAGACGAAACTTGCAAATCCATGGTTGCCTTTGCTGAGAAGAGAGAAGGTAGAAAAGGAAATGCTTGGAAGAAACTAGGTTGCCCATTTATCTCTAGAGTCTTGAATCTGTTTCCTATAGGATCATAAGAAACAAGAGTACTCTCACCATACTGCAACAGAATCTTACCATTCTTCAGATCACAAACAACTCTTGGAACTCTATTCATGAAGCCTGAAGCTGATGAATCTCGTTTCATTGTCAAACCGAGAGGGACATTAGGGACAAAGGAGTATTCTTTCTTCCAAGAATCCTCCACTTTGTATTGTTTCATTACCCAAATATCAAATTGCGCTGTTTCACCTAAGCCAGCTGCCGAGAGACACCCATTCAACACAGAAAGACTGTATCTGCTGGATACAAGTGACTGACAAGGTGGATGAGGAATTTCTTCAAACACCTCATCTGCAAGCTGGAAGGAGACGATAGCGTAGTAAAATCCCTCATCAGCCACTACAACCCAATGTAAAGATCCTTCCACTAAAGCCTCAGGTGGTCTCAATCCAAGCCGTTTTGGTATATTTTCCTTGTCTCTCCATTCCCCGGTTCCTAGAGTGAACACCTGAAATGCTTTTTCAGTAAGGCGACATTTCGCTCTCCCTTCAAGCTTCAGGATTTTTGCATAATACACAATCCTGACAACTTTGGATTCTCGGGTAATGGGATGAAACCCAAATCCAAAGACTTCCCTTAGGTTCGAAAATCGGTTCGCCGGTTCTGGTCGGATTGCCACAGGATCTCCAACAAAAGGATTGTAAATCTCCAGACTCCGAATCGCCGATTCACCAGAGTTTAGATGACAAGAAACACATAATAACCCATTACAACAACCCACCATATCAGAAAGACTTGAATAGAACGTTCGTTCAAATCTTAATGCTGTTCTACTGTAAATTTTTGGATAATCACAACCTAAAAAATAGAGTTGGGAATAGTCTCCGAAAAAATTCAGGCATGGGTTGGAATCGCTAACCCAATTGTGGAATGCCTGAATGAGGAGTGGATGGGCGATTAAATCACGGCCGGCATGCGAAGTGCGCTTGAACTGGATAAGGGAGGTGACAGGAAGTCTTGATAGGATGGCAATCAGAATGTCCAATGGGAGAAGATCCATCCCGTTCCAGGGCCGATCATCTGCAACGACGACAATCTTCTCCTCTTTTTCCTCTTCTCCATCCATGGCTGAGCTTGCTAAGAATCAATTCAAGAAAGCAAGACAAAAGGAAAATGGGAATGGATCGAAGAATGGGGATGGTGGGAAACTCCGACAAAC